TGCTGCATTCATGCCATGTTGGAATTACCATAATTACAAGATGACAACTTGGAGATTCTACTTGGAGCTGTTCTCATCCTCGGGCTCAGATATAATTTGTTTCCATGGCAACGTTCATAATGCCAAAATTGATCCATGTGCAGCTTTGTTGTTGATGACAGCAAAATAATTAAGCACTACTTTAATTCACCATTATAAGAATAAAGAAAGCGTACCAGGTAGCATTGGCTATAATAAAATGGCATATCAAATATGAATATGAATATGTAGTGCTATCTAACTACATTTAACAGCAGAAGCCGCTAGCATTTTTGTCATCACAACCATCAAGTCTGAATTACAACTTGTAATTAAAAGTTCAATGAAGATGTGAATGGTTTCCACCAGTTAGAAGCTCATGCAGTTATATAATAACTATAAAATAAATAAATATAAAAAGCAGTTATGTTATATAATATGTTGAAATAAAAGGCTGTTAGATTGTCCGATGTGTTTGTTCTCTGCAGTGCGGCGCAGGAAGGAATGAATACCGTGTTCGTGGTGGTCTCCTGGGCTTTTCCGCAGGGTTCGTTTAATAATGTTCACCATAAACTCTGCAAGTTTTGCCACAGCTAAAAAACTGACGGCAGTCCAAGAACAACACAGCAGCATCTGGTCCAAGTTAAAGTGAATTTCTGATTAACCTTCCTGTTCTGAGATGCACGTTCATGCTAGTCCGTCCGAAACACACCAGACATTCCACAGCATGCATTGGCAGTCACACGCTTATGTTGGAATCTGACATTATGAGACAGGACATTTAAGTTCAGTGAATGTTTATGAATGGATGGGAAAGTTCTGGAACTCCTTGGAATTCTGGGAGAAAATAAAGTAACACCAGTGCTGAGTTACTGTTTCACACCAAGCTCAGGGTGTGAACGGTTGTTTTGAATAGTCTTGACTAATTATCCATCTGTATATCTGTCCAAATTGCAGTCAGAGATGAGTGTGTATATCTATGGCAGTTTTTGTATTTCTTGTGAAACATGGAACCTTTTCAAAGATCTCTGTTATGAGTTTGATAAACATCTGCGGCTGGAATCCTGTACATTTAAATTCAGAGCGAACACATCAAGTGTGATTGAAAATGTGGTTTATTTCTGACATGCTACATAATTAGTCGCTTAAACCCGACACCAAACTTGATGACCTTCAGAGTTTATGTTATGAATGATTTCGACTGATGATTCAGACTGACTCATCATTGAAGACTTCAGATTCTTGTCTTTTCGGTTCTGCTTTTTTGGTCTTTTTTTAAATTAGAGATGGTTTTTAACTAAATGTAAGCTTAGTGTGGATATATAGCGGACCGTATACTGTATACTGCCTGTTAATTGTGATCTCATTACATATTTAAATTAGCAGCAAGCGTCCAATAAGCATCTCTGAAATAAAACATGGTTATTTTGAATTGATTAAATTCAGTGTAAAATGTCTTAAGGAGATTTTATTTAATCACCCTCATTTCGCTCCAAACCTGTATGACTTTCTTCTGTGCAACATAAAAGAAGATATTTAGAAAAATGTCTCAATATTTTTGTCAAAACAATGAAATTCAGTGGTCCAATGTTGTTTTGGATGCCAGTGACTTGGATTGTGTGGACAAAAATAGTTAAAAATTCTTCAAAACATCTTCCACAAAAGAAAATCGTACAGGTTTGAAATGACATGCAAGTAAGCAAATAGTGATAAAGTTGCAATTTTTGGGTGAACTACCTCTTTAAACGTTTGAAGCCTGATCAAATAATTAGTGAAGAAGGCGGATATACATTCCGGTTCAATTGTCACACTGGATACAGAACATTTTTGAGTGGATATAAAAGAAGTTGAGTGCATTGCATTGTGGGACACATATTTACACCAATTTGCTCTGATTGTATACTGTACAGTTTGGAAAAAAAAAGATGTAGGTCAATCTAATACAGTAAAAAAATCTGCATACAGTTTGCATATATGTATAATATACCTACTGCACACTTCTAGTATGGTAGCATACCGTTCTAAACATACCATTCTTTTACATCTCTATCTCCCTCACGCACACACAAACTAAAGAAGATGGACTGAAAGAGAAAATGGATATAAAGGGATGGTCATGGTCTGTCTGTTGCTCTTTCATGCCCCCTCAGGGGCCCACAGTAGGACATTCAGCATAAGGGACTTTTCACTGGTCCCCTGGCACTGAAATCCAACCCAATAGTAAAGCCAAGTCTGTGTGACTGACAGCTGCTGATTTACGCCCCCATTTACTGTTTAAAATGACAGAGAGACTCATCAAATCCATCTCATTTATGAGATTCAGTCCTCACAAAGCCTTGCGAGTGTTTGCATACTGATGCTGTTAACTAAACCACTGAAATGAGCCGCAAGGCAATAACAAGCTCTGCCTCCAACCTCACTATCATTTAATGTCATTGTCTGTCAGCCTCCTCGTTAAGAAAACAATCAGCTTAATTACTCATGTGATGCTGGAAGCCTCATCAAACTGATGAAAATGAAACCATAAACAGCGTTCTATGCGCCCTTTCACATTTTTCTGTTTTGACTCCTCGCATTCTTGAGATTTCCTCTTGGGAAAACCATCCCCCTTTTTTTCCTTGGGAAAAACACCCCTCTGAGTGATAAATGCAGATCCATTATCACAGCCCAGGACGTTTGTTTTTAAACAGATCTAGTTCAACTCCTCCTAAATTTAGATCCATAAATTAAAATGTTTCATTTTCAACCAACAGGTGGCACACCTCAAGATCTGAGCGCCAAACTGATCTACTTTGAAAGCAGGTAGATGTTTTGTGATACCAGAGACAGTATAAGTAGAACGGAAACCACTTGTAGAAAATAAACTGGAGAATACGGCGAACATATTGGTTTTCTTAAAGAAAATCAATAGCCTAATCTGGTCTTACCCCATTCAAGTCAATAGAAGCTGTACATACATGCTTAGAAAATAGCTCACAAACAGACTCATTCCAGAAAGGACTTTGGTGACGTTTATCATTTCTGACACCCGTTTCCTACAGGACAGAAATGTTGTTTAGACTTACTTGCATTCCCGGCTTTCCAGATCAAAATGCGGATTGAAGTTGATGAGGATCTTCTGCTGTGGATCAGGCGCCTGGATCAGCCAGCTGCACTGCTGGTTCACCGGGTATCCAGACGGGTAACCGGGAGAGGTCACATACCCGGCGCTGGTGATTGTGATTTTCCCACCGCAGGGACTTTCTAAAAACCAGAGTGGCACATTTATCACTTTAACAACTGAAACTCAGGGTGTCATACTTAGATATCAGTCATAGTTCTGCACATTACATGCATCTCATACTAGTAGCCTACAGATAATTGGTGACAAACTGCGCAAAAGTAACATGACACCCGTAATGTCACACACAGCGCGCTCTGATCTTACACGCTGTTCGACAGAGGATCGATCAGATCAGAGGATCGATTATGCGCCTGGAAATCGATCAATGTATCAGAGCTGAACGCAACAGGCCGTGGACGAACAGAGGGGTTACTGTATATGGGTGTGCAGACGTGGTGGGCAGATATGCCACTGCGTCTGGGTGTTTTAGTCTGATAACACACACCCAACTCTCTCAAACACACACATACACATACGGAGCATTTCTGGTCTAAGCGCTGTCAAAATATGAATCGAGTAATATTTGATTTACACAAATTATCTAACTAATAAATAAAAATGAAAATACAATAATACTATGTCGGTATACATAAAAACTAAAAAATTAAAATAATAGGCCTACACAAATTAAGCAAATACAAAAATAAGAAATACACTGTAAAATCATGCGCCATGAGGTAATGTCTAAATTAATTGGTTTTTATTCAAATAAATAACATTATTAATATCACTAAATCAAAATGTTAAGGATCAGATAAAATAGCTCCTTTATGGTAACAAACTGTACATTTTCACTTTTTACAGTGTGGAAACAGTCCGGTGTGAATTTATACTCAAAGGAATAATTTATGTAGTGCGTAACGAATGATCTCTCCTTTCATCAGATACGGTTTCTACCTGTTTACCTTCTGAAACAGCAGCCCTACAGGTGAGCATCGATAACAAACGACAGTAATAACCATAACAGAGCTCTCCTGTGCGCAGAGAAACCGTGCCGTGCCGACACCACAATAACCGACTCACCCGTTAGCCAAACATCTGCTCTTGTGTTCCTCAGAAGAAAGTAATGGGTTTGGAATAACATGGGTGAGAAAATGATGACAGAATTTTTTTTATTTTTTTTGCTTATTATCCAGTTGCAGACGCTGATTGTCGAAAGCCCTAGGCGATAATTAATCAAATAATTCTCTCAAGATTACTGAGCAGGTAATAAAAGACATGTTTCTGAAGTCAAGGTGCAAATGCAATTAACCAATCAGAAGACTTCTAAGTGCATGTCTTTATAATACAGAAGCATGGTTCAGTGACAATGCTGGAAGGAAATAATGTAGCACTTTAAAATATATCATGGCACTGAGTGATTATTATCTGAAACAAATTCTGTGATCTTACCGTCACTCTCATGCTGTGGTGAGCGTGATTTGACCAAGTACAACATGTTCCTGGATCAACATCCGTGTTGATCCTGGAACATCATTCCCATCAACCAATCAGAACTGAGAGATAACTTTTCAGGAAATGTCAGTTTTAGACTTACAATCAGGATTAGGTGCTTCTACACCCTTGTTAATCAGCTATCATTTCCCTCTGATTTTAGGAATAAATTATGGGTAAGGTTAGGTTTAGGGGTAGGGATTGGGTTTAGTCTATATTTTTGGACAGTAATGTTGATCCAGGATCAACAAAAGATGTTGATCCAGGAACATGTCTTACTTGGCAAAATCACGGCGACCCTCATGCTTCACCAAACCAGTATGCATTTCTTTCCTATTGTATTTTAAAACTATGTCTTTTTTTTTTAAACTGTCTCTTTTTTGTCTACACACTGAACTTAATTGGGGTACTAAACAACACTTGACCCCACTGAAATGTCAGTTTTAGGCTTACAATCAGGATTAGGTGCTTCTACACCCTTGTTAATCAGCTATCATTTCCCTCTGATTTTAGGAATAAATTATGGGTAAGGTTAGGTTTAGGGGTAGGGATTGGGTTAAGTCTGTATTTTTGGACAGTAATGTTGATCCAGGATCAACAAAAGATGTTGATCCAGGAACATGTCTTGGCAAAATCACGGCGACCCTCATGCTTCACCAAACCAGTATGCATTTCTTTCCTATTGTATTTTAAAACTGTCTATGTCTTTTTTTTTTAAAAACTGTCTCTTTTTTGGCTACACACTGAACTTAATTGGGGTACTAAACAACACTTGACCCCACTCATGGACAAAAACAGTTGAAAAATTCTTTATCCACAGTTTAAAGTCATACAAGTTTGAAATAGCCTAGGTAATAAAAGACAATGCAGTGAATGGGTGCCGTCAGAATGAGAGTTCAAACAGCTAATAAAAGCATCACAAGTAATCCACATGACTCCAGTCCATCAATCAATGTCTTGTAAAAAATCTGTGTGTTTGTAATAAACAAATTCATAACTTAGGCATTTCGATTTTAAAACTCATGGCCATATGAGTCCATAATCCATAATAACGCTTCATCCAGTGAAAACGTCCATCCCCTGTTTTCCTCTCACATTAAAATCCACCAACATATTTGTTTAAAACAGTTTCGGACTGTTTTCACTAATAAATGGTTCTTGATCTGTGCATATTTCTCTCCAGATTCAGACGACATAACATTTTCAAGCAATATTATGGGTAGAGGACTCGTATTTTGGCAGGAAGCAACGGTTTGAAGTCAAAAACTTCTTAATGACGGATGTTTTTTTACAAACATGCAGCATTTCACTCCACAAGACATCCATTGATGGAGTCGTGTGGATTATTGTGATGTTTTTATAAACTGTTTGGAATCTCATTCTGACGGCACCCATTCACAGCAGAGGATCCACTGGTGAGCAAGTGATAAAATGCTAAATTTCTCCAAATCTGAAAAAGCATCTACGTCTTGGGTGTCCATAGGGTGAAAAAAAAATTTTTTTTTGCAGTGATGCTACAGAAGAACCATTTTGGTTTCCCCAAAGAATCTTTTGTGCTATAGAAAGGTTTCATGGATGTTAAATAGATGCCAGAATAAGCACTTTTATTTTTAAGAGCGTATGTAAAAGTGGATAGTATTTTGATTTTCTATTTTACATATACACATTTCCATGCATGCTGTGCATCTGTCATGGTGATGAATGTCTACTGATAACACAGAGCTGGTCAGATAACACCACAAATGCTTACTGATTCAAACAAGCTTTTGTCAGAGAGATAAAGAGTTGTCACATGCACACACACACATACAAACACAAATATTGTTACATTTTCCAGGACAATTTCCAGCAGCTGGTAAAGCTTTAGAATAAGGCTAAAGACTGTTGACATGAATCTGCAGTTTACAGTGCACTCTGACTCTCTTCATATGCTTCGGATGGACTTTTCAATCAGACACTGAGTGTGTGTTAGCCAGAGCAGCTGAAATCCCCCAACACACAGTGTGTTAATCTGCTCACAAACACGCGCTCTCTGTCTCTCTCTCTCTTCTTCAGCCTGTTTTATGATGCCACACTCAACAGCGCCTCAGGCCCCTGTTCACAGAGATGTCTGCTACCCTGACTGAGAAAGCCAGAATGAAAGAGGGAGAGAGATTTAGAGTTAGTCTGCCCAGATATGAGCTCCTGCCAAACCTGATATTTTAAAGTCACGTAGCTGCAAAAACAAAAGCACAGTTTAATATCCTGATAGTTTTTTCATGCACGGCTGAATCTGATGAGAACACGTCCAGGTCACATTCTATCCCATAATAAAACAAGAAGACGAAGAAGAAGAAGAAGAAGAAGAAAATAAATCATATTTTGCATAATGAAAGAAGCCTATTTATTTATTTATTTCGCATTGTGACATTTCTCATTCTCGCAGAAATTCTCATTATTCCCAATGGTGATTCTCATGACTGTAATACAAAATATTTTATTATTTAGATTAAAGACAATACTAGAAATACTATGGTGTATAAATTCCATAAAATAATAAATTAAAGAATATATCAGCATTTTTGCAGAAAAGCAATGAAATGAGAAGAGAGGTAAATAATATCACAATGCAAAAAAAATCGTAATTATACAAAAAGAAAAGTTTGTTTTTTGGCCTGAAATAAACTGTAAAAGTGTTTTGTCACATAACCTCAAGCGGTAACATGTAAATGAACTGGTGCATTTAAATATCATCTTACTAAGACATATTATTGATACAGTGTAACAACTGATATTAATATGCAAGTAGTCTGCTAGAATGTTATAAAGATCCCTTTGATTTACATTACAAGCTGTCAAAATTTCATATTACCAAAATAGCATATTTTTGTTCAGGTTGGGACTCTGAATAAAAGTGATGTGTTTTTTCTCCTCGAGTAGGAGTTCAAATTCTCACCAAATCATATGAACCCTTAAAGTCTTATGCATCAAATATGATGCAAAACGTAAAACATATATGCAAACTTCTTTTTTATATTTCCTTTTAATTTGTCTTTTAAAGTGTTTTGTCACATAACCTCAAGTGGTAACATCTAAATGAATTGGTTTTGCGAAAGAAAAAGAAAAATCAACCTGAATATTTTGAGTTACACCAGGGTTTCCCAAACTGGGATTCATGAGTTGATAAAAAAAAACGAATAATTAATTCAATAATAAAATTAAGTAAATATAAACAAATACATAACACTTACTAAAAAAGCTGAAATATTTTATTGGTTTACCTGCAAATCATGTAACCTTTAACCAGCATCAGAGAACAATAAACATGCAAAAATGTTGTTCATTTACTGAAGTAACTTAAAAATTCAACATCCCAGTAAATATTTTAGGTCAAAGGGGTTCGGCTGACAAAAAAGTTTGGGAATCCCTAATATAGTATAGCGTCTATACAATACGTATTATTTCAAAGCAACTTCACAGTAATAAACAAGAAAATAAGAGCATTAATGTCACAAAGTTCTTCAATTATGGAACATATATAATCTCAGCTGTAAAGCAGATCTCAAAAGACAATAGTGTCATTATTCAGCTCAATTTAGTTCAATGTTGATTCATTAACAGTCTCAGTGTTGCTAAGTTCATTAGTTATGAATCAAACTCATTTCAACAATAAAGCAGCTTTACAGAAGATAATAGTGTCATTATTCAGCTCAAAGTCAAAGTCAGTTCAGATGCACAAGCCACGTTTTAAAGGGAGATTCACTTGCGATCGGCAAACCATTTAGAACGAAATCAGCAGTTCATATACTTTCTGCCTTTCTTTCATACCTCTCTCACTCTATCTGGCTTTCTCTCCCTGTTTTCTCATTCCTTTTCCATTTGACATCCCCTCCCCAATCATTCTTACATGCTTAGAGGCTGTTCTGTTTTTCTTAGTCTGTCATTAAACAAGAAAGCCCTCCACAGCCACAGGAAGTCTGCTCAGCGGACGGAGCTGATTGGCTATCGCTCAGAATCACAGAGCGGAGCTGACATCTGCTGGGACCAAAATCCAAAACCAGATCATTTACATACAGTTTGACCTTCCACACAGCCTTGTGTGTGTGTATGAGTGAGTCTTACACACTGGTTTCATGAAGCTATTTATCATTCTTTGATGCAGAAAGAGGGAGACTGGGGCGGAAGGGGTGGGACATGTTGCCGCTCTGTTGCTTCAGGCCGTTGTGCATGTGGAGAAATTTCTGAAATTACATCATATATCACACAGCGAACACACATAGTCATACACACCCAGTCAATCAAATGCACACGCACAGACACTTTTGATAGATGGTTGAGACGGAGAGATACTTTACCGGTCCCTGAAGAGAAACACAGTCATTTTGTATTTTGAAATGTGATATTTTGTGTCTCCGCTGCCAGGATTCCCGCCATTCTGTCGGGACGGAACCGGAGCTATTGGGCAACTGTGAAGGGAGACGACAAAAACAGCAAGAGCTCAGTGTGTATGATATGCTGTATTGAACCTCAGATGATCGGAGCAACAGAAAAGCCT